TATCAACTAATATTCAGTTTCTTTAATAAAATTGAAATTAACAGTTCACTAATTAATTAAATAAATTAATATGGATAGCTTTGCCAACTAGCGATGATTTTATAATATTATATGATTGTTTTACTGCAATGTTGTTATTAAGCAACTTAACATTGAGAAAAGAGTTATTAGAGGGAATTTAAGGTGTTTAAATACTTCTTATGTTTCACTAAAATTGTGAAATAAAACGCGGAATTTTAACTTGTGTAACATTTTAAAAAAATAATTCCGTGTTGTATATACGACATTTTAGATATTTTATAAATTCCTTCGACAAATGAGTACTCTCTTTTAGCTTTAAATTATTCCAAATAATCTCTCAATTGACACCGTCATTATAATGCACACCATAAAAAAATTTACAATCTAAAACCATGTATGGAAATTGCAAAAACAACATTATTTTTGCATCACCAAAACAATAATGATAATGATAATCAAGTTTTTTAATAAAAGAAAGTCATTAAGCGGTTGGCTGTCAAATTACATACATAGCCTTCCCGAGACTATCACTCTCTAATATGAAAATGATCTTTGAGGTCAACTTATTGATCTATAATAATAAATAAAAATTTATGATCCCCTCAAGATCTACAAAAGTCGTTACTATTCTGGAAAATATCCAAAAAATCAACGTAAATCAATTATTCTATATTAATATAGTTGAAAGCTGTTGTGCTACGTTGGAATTTTTTAAATACGTACGCAAGTTCAGTGACCCTTATAATTCTGGCTAAGTTTGCTTGATTCCAGCCCAAATTATGGAGTAAAATGACAAAATATTTATTTTTTCCTAAAAAATAAATTTTCTTTTTGTCAAATTTTCTTCTAATAAAATATTAAAAATGGTCGGAATTAAAAAAAGAATTCAGTTCTTAAAAGAAAAATGTGGCATATTTTTTGTCTCGTGCAATCTGCAGATCTATAAACGAAATTTTGAAAAAAGTGATGTATTATTATTACAATTTCTAAGTCGAGGACCTGAATGTATTTGACTACTTTGATGTTCCATGCGAATTATGCCCAAATAGAACATAAAATTTATTCTCATTGCGTTCAAATGTATTCTGCTAATTTTGAATTTATTTGTTTTATCTTTTTTTATTTCTACATAATCTTTCATCAATTGTAGTTTTTCAAAGTTAACAATTTTATTGCATATCAGAAAGGCCAAAGACATTAAAATAGGGACTTGTAAAGAGAATAATCACATCTCAGTAGTTATGATCCAAAAAAATATAAATGGGATGGTGTTGTGGTTTCTATTAAACAATTCGTTTTATAATTCAAATACTTGTAATTCTCTGTCTATCAACACTATGTAAATACAGTGACAGTGTGAAACATGATATTTAGAATTGGTTTTATTGTGTTAATTATTTCGCCAGTCATAATAATAATAGTAATAATAAAATAACTTTAAGTCGTTATTTAATTAATGTCTTTATAAATACAAAAAGGAAAAAAATCTTTTAATTATTTAGTTTATAGATAAAGCAAAACTATTAAAAAATTGAAGAATCTGTAGTGATAAAAAGAGGTTGATCGAATTATAAATCATCATTTTGTTCTTGAGATTCCTTTGCTAACCTAAATTGTTCTTCAGAAAATTCATTCTGTAATTTATTAATCTCAGATTGGTAAGGATGAGAGGAAGAAAAAGAATAGTCTATGAAATTAAGAAAGATGTCATATGGACCTGAATGTATTTGACTACTTTGATGTTCCATGCGAATTATGCCCAAATAGAACATAAAATTTATTCTCATTGCGTTCAAATGTATTCTGCTAATTTTGAATTTATTTGTTTTATCTTTTTTTATTTCTACATAATCTTTCATCAATTGTAGTTTTTCAAAGTTAACAATTTTATTGCATATCATGATCAATGCAAAGAAGATGCTGTCGTTCTTTTGTTCTTTGAAATCCCCTTCTTCCAAAGCATTAAATAAATTTATTAACCTCATAATGACAAGTTCTATATCAATTTCTATAAAACCATCATTTGTAGAATAGTTGACTTTTCCTCTAATTACCACGTTTTCATTGTCCTTTTCACTTAAATTAATATGACCAAAAACATAATCTATCATTAGAAAGTACAAATAACATAACTTTGCATTTCCTTTAAGATGCCTTAATAACACACTAAATACAAATCTTATCCCTTTATCGGTTTCTTGTTGATAACTACGCCATTCTTAGTGAATTGCTTTGATTATCTCTACATCATGTGAAGCATTTTTTGCTGAATATTTATCAAATAAACAAAGACCTTCAAAATCTCGATGATCTTGTAAAAATCTTTTTGAAATGTTTCTAAACATACTAAGATCTTTAAAATTTTGACTTTTTCCTAAAATTTCTCTAAATTTATTTGTTTTTTGTTCTTCTTCCATTATTATTATTATAAAGTCAAATTATATTTAAGAAAAGAAAAAGAGCAAAAAAAATTTCATTTATATAAAGTTTATTCTCGATAACTACACTACACGTATTGTAAAGTAGTGAATTTCTTTTGCCATATGATATGCGTTAATCTATTGTCAGTTGTCAAGAAAATCAATCTATTGTTACCATTACTATTACTGCGATGCAATTAATGGTAATAAAATACGTTTTTTGTTGTTATGTAGTTTTTATTAGTAAAAAACAAACAATCAGATGACTTGATTTAGAAGAATTATCTTAACAAATTTTAATTTAGTAAATTTTTAAAAAAGACAATTCTGAGGAATTAAATTGTTGGTATTTTGATAATACATTATAATTAATAATACAATAATAATACACAAGAATATATTTAAAAATCAAGTAAAAAAAATTAATCCCATGACGGGTGACGACTTTTATTTTGCTCACTTTTTTTTAAAAAATATCTCTTAATAATTTTGTGAAACATCGGCTTCTGCTCATATGAAATTTTATGTAGAAGTCCAACGAAGAATTAACTGAAAGGTAATCAGATTCGTAAAGGGTCTGTTACGGCAAACGATCCAAGCACAACAATATTATTTATTTTTAAAAATTTTTTTTCTTTCAAATGATATCCGCAATTTTCTGGATATTATATTTTTCATCGTCAATTATAAATATAAAATTTATTTTATACAGAAATCTCATAAGCCCTTTGTTGTCTCTTCATTGTCGATATATAATATAGTATTAGTGTTAATTATTACAAGTATTGCATGTAATTATGGATTAGTTTCGAATATCTAAAATCATGTGTATATCAAATCGTTACTATTAATATTAGCAATTATAAAATTTAATTCAATTACTCACGATTGTTGTTATATAGGATACTTATATAAATTTCCTTTTGATTTTTATTATCTCTGTTCCTGAGTCATTGATGAAAAACCCCCATTTTTTTAAATTCTTGATACTAAATAAAACTTGCGATTGTTTAAAACAATACAGTTGAAAAATCTCCAAATAAGTAAAATTGTTAAAATAGTAAACAATAAAATTTGTGTGATGTCACATGACATGTTTTTATATAGGTCTTCATAGCTAAAGTATGCAAAATGCATTTAATTGAATCAAAAAAATTTCACATACAAATTCTAAATATTTTTATTTCATACAAAAGTTGCAATATATTTTGTTTCTAGAGATTACAAAAAAACATAATTCAGTTCATATTAAAAGTTTCTTCTTGTAGAATGAATGGTACAGTCATATTTCTACTCGAGAAATATCAATATGAAAGGATAATTCACTGTCCAAAAAAGGAATATGAAATAATGGATCACAAGAATATTCTAAATAATGGGAGACCTCTAATTAACTTTACTGAGTGTTGAGTAATTTAAACTATATATTGTATGGCTATTACTATCTTATATTACAAAGGGGATTTTAATATACCCGGAGTGGTTCACCCCTTTCTTTCTATCAAATAGCATGTTAATACAGGCGATGATCGACTATTTTTTATAATGTATTCTTTGTATTAATAATAACGGACGTTTTCTCCAAGCCAATTGATCCGTTGACTGTATATTATTCAGATTACTTTCTAAAAAATAATATTTGGTAAAATTAGCGCATTTCAAATGGTTTTTGTCATTTAGAAAGATGTCCTTTATATACAGAGTCGAAAAAATTGATTAATGGATTTCTTAAAAGATAAATTAAAGTTGTGGATTTAATTGGAGGTTTTTTTAAATTTCGTGTGGCTTGACCAAATCTTTGCAGATCGCTATGTTTTGCAGATCATAAAACAGTAATGATGATTGGTCACAAACTTTTTTGAAATAAACCTTAAAGATATAATATTTATTTATATGTATGTTTCCTTACTTTTTCTCTACGCTTTGATTGTTACTTGTATTTATTTATATATTAAATAACGATTCACATTGTTGCCTTTATAGCAAACTAAAAACTAAAAGTGTAAAATTAACAAGTATTAACTGTTTATCAATTTTTTTGTGTTCTTTAAAATTTATTATAGCGATTTTCAAATAATAAATAATGAAAATCATATACTAATCATCTACAAAAAAAAATGTGTTTTTTCAATTATAGGATAAAGATAAAAAGATTAATATATAATAATAAATCATCTACAATTAAATAAATAAATAATGAGCGATTCTTCTTCCGACCCTGAAACTCCAATCTCAAATGATTCTAATGGTCTTAATAAAGTAAAAAGTAACAAAGATGATAACGACGAAGCTTTAACTAATGAAATAAAATTGGAATCATCAACCATCACTGCAACAACACAAACTGCATCAACTACAATTACCACCACAAATAACACTACTGATGCTGATAACACTTCCATTAAATCACCCAACACAAAAGCATTAACAAAGTATGTCAATCAAGAAAAATATTAATCTACGTTAATTTATCATGATTATCACTTGCTTGTTTATAATTTCTATTCTATTCATTATACTCTTTTTTTATTCATTATTTCTAGCGAATCATCTGAATGTGTTGTAAAAACAGAAGAAACATGGACTGATAATTCAACATATCCCTTTGGTCCTTATCCTCCAAAACCAGAAAAAGGTTATGAAGAACACACCTTGGATCCGGCCCTTTTTAATGATCCTTCAATGAAATTAAATCTTGCTGCTAAAAATACATCAGTAAACTATTTTGGTCAACCTCCAGTTGGTGTACCTCGTGAAATTAATTATACAATGACTCCTACACCACAAGAGTATGCAACAATTGCTTTGAATGGTAATTTTTCTGTTATTCAAACTGCAAATAATAATAGCATGCCGAATAAACAAAAATCTCCTTCAAGACAATCATCTGCTCCTCAAGATATGATGTCTACTTTTAATTCAAGAACTGTTCAATCAACTCCTAAAAGATATAAATGTGAAATTTGTCAAAAAAGATTTACAAGACCAAGTTCTCTGCAAACACATATGTATAGTCATACAGGTGAAAAACGTAAGCATTCTAAATTAATTGATTGATTTAATTTACTGTAATTTGGATTATTTTTTATTAATTAATTTCATTTGTTTCTTTTAGCATTTAAATGTCCAGTAGAAGAGTGTGGACGTCACTTTTCAGTCGTTAGTAACCTTCGCCGTCACCAAAAAATTCATTCAAACAAGGCAGCATCTAACCCAACACCTAATGTGACTGATGCGACACCTTCCACAACTTGAAAAAAAAAATTTCCTCTTTTTATATAATAAAAATTTTTATAGTTCTTACAGATTTTGGGCTTGTGTCTTTTTTTGAAATCACAATTTTTTAACATACAAACATGATGGATTACTTAAAGTAATATTTTTGAATAGATGAGGATTTTTAATTAATGAAAAAAATCATCAGGAATCAAACATCAATTAAATTTTCTTAATATTAACTTTATTTCATTATTATTATTATTATTATTTTAAATAAATAAATTGAAGATCGGCAAAGAATATTCTTTTTTAGATCCTGTGACCGCTACTTTATTTAAATTTTAAAAATGAAGACTTACTCTCTATTGAATTACATTATGGAATCCATGTAAAAGATTGATGGTGGGAAACATCCAAAACAATAAAATGATTGTGATTCTTGTTTTATCATCCTACTTGTGTTGGAATGGTGAAAATTTATTTTATGTAACAGAATTGGTAATTTTATAACAGGATATGTGAAGAATATACAATCCCACTATATCTTTTCTAATTCATATCGAAACTTCAACACGAGCTTCTGGAGCTGAGACTTTGGATTTTAAGACAAAAAAATTTGTGTTTAAGAATTGTTATTAAATATAAAAAATGTTTATGGCATAGTGACTCACAAAACATAGCCTCGTCGAAAGTATTTGGTATTGATATTGATGAATATGTATTAGATGATGTTGATAATAGTTGTATTGTACTTTGGAAAGATGATAATGCAAAATCATTAATACCGTCATCATTATAACAAATATTAGGATTGATGGATCATTCTTATTATTTCGTCGGCACAAGCACCACCACTATTACTACTATTATACATTTCCCTACAAAAAGTAACTGGAAGCAGGACCCTGGAAACTACATAGACAGGCTACCCCAAAATTTTCAAAATCCCAACACTAATATTATAATTAGGCTTACCCCAAGTTGATAATAACCCTTTAAACTTTACCCAAAAATAGATACGACATTAAAAAACTTTTAAAAATCACCAGAATTATAACAATCGAAATTTGAATCAGTACCAAAACAATATATTATGAAGACTTGATGTGTGCATATATATAAAGTTTCCACCTAATTCACATTTTTGTGAAAATAATCCTTCTGAAATTCTAATAAATGTAATTACAAAAATATAAATTTCAATAGAATCAACAGAATTACTTTCCAATTACTAATTGCTCATCAATAATGAATAACAAATATCCATTTTCTACCAGTGGATGAATTGAAATGACATTAACAACTCCAATATTATTTATTAATTACAACAAAATAAATAAATAATAATTATGAAAAAATAAATAAATTAAAAAAACCAAACAATTAAATTCTGTGGAATAGAAATAACATCTGCCATCCCTCTTCTTCCAATAAACCATGGTGAGCAATCCTGGTTGAACCAATATCATTAAAATAATGTCTCTGATCAGGGGGTAAAAACCTAATTTAGTAATAATTGTCTTGACTAAATAGCTTAGTCAGCTTAGCCAAGTGCTCATTTGAGTTACGCGGCCAGCCCTGGTCTTGATCAAAAAAAGATTTTATACTTGATTGTTTGTCAGAAGTAACACCACATTTAAATTCTTTACTCTCTGTCCAATTTAACTCTGACTTGCCACAAATACATCAAACTAATTTAGGATTAATTTCCTCAAGGAAATATTTATTTTTAACTTTTTTATTTATTTAGGAGTTTATATTAATCTCGATTTCATTTTTGTCTCCACTTTTATCCTCATTTTCAAGATGACCATAAATGTCTTGATTTACAAAAAAATTATAAGAATTTAACTTTGAATTTTTCCATATTGATTTACCAAAAGAGTAACATATCTATTTACACTCAATGACAAAATTTTGTATCCAAAAATTTATTTTGCATTTTTACAAAATCCTACTAAATAAATAATTGTGATCTTCACACCATTTTAAAGTTATGGTTCTTGAAAAAGTTTTTTATTATTGTTAATTAAATCTTTATTTATGAAGTTTTTGTTAGCATTAAAATTACGAAATTGATGATCATTTTGGTTTTTTTTTTTAGCCAAATGCTCACAAATTATTGGTCTTTTCAAAGGCAGCCACAAAAGGTCTGACATTAGTAAAATTCTTGGATTTGAAGTTTCAACTGTAAAAAAAACCATCCAGCGTTACGGTGATTCAGAAATGCCAGTAAGCAAAAAAAGAAGTGGTCGGCCCAAATTACTTGGTGAGGATGAAAAAAATATTTTGAAGGAAATCATTACCAGTAATAACCGAACACCAACTAGTGGGATAAAGGAATCCTTTTATCAATCAACTGGTTTAAATGTTTCGACTAAAATAATTTATCGAAATCGAAACTTGCACCAAATTAGTTTCAATTCTCACCATGCAGCTTCAAAACCACTCCTTAATGGTAAACAACATCAAAATCGTCTCGAATAGTGCATTAATCGAAGGCATTGGTCTAAAAAAATGTGGAGATCTGTAATATGGAGCAATGAAAGCCAGTTTACTCTTTTTTGCAATGATGGACCAACAAAAATTTGGCATAAACTTGGAACTCGGTACAATATTGAAAATTTGACGTCTACAGTAAAACATGGTGGTGGTGGTGGAATCATGATTTGGGAATTTTTTCAGCAAATGGATTAGGACCATTAATTAGATTACATTAATGTTTTAGAGGATAATTCATCCAAGAAAATTACCCTACAAATCATTACAAGTTTCAAGATGATAATGCTTCTGTCCATACTGCAAAGAATGTGAAAAAGTGGATGTCTGAGAAGAAGCTTATCTTTTTTGAAAATTGGCCTTCTCAGTCACCAGACCTTAATCCCATTAAGCACTTGTGGGATGAACTTGGCCGAAGATTAAAAAATCGCCTTGAACATTCAAAAAATTTGGGAGAGTTGGAAATTTTCTTGAGACAAGAATGGGAACAAATTCCTTGCGAAAAATATTGAATTTAATTGATAGTATGCCCAGAAGGATAGAAGAATGTATTGCCAACAATGGTTGGTCAACTAGATATTAAAATAGTAAGAATTAATATTAATATTTTTTAAAATTGATCATCCATTTTATAATTTTTATTTTTAATTTTTTCATAATAAAAATTTCGCAAAATAAAAATTTGTTATTAATAAAAAAATATTTATTTAATATAATTTTGAGAAAATCTCAGAATAATTTTTTTGTCCATTGAGTGTATCTCTGGAAACCCTATGTAGATCCTTATTAAAACATATAAAAAATTTGAAGTTTTCAAGTTTTTTAATTAACAATCATGTTGAACCTTTTTCAATTCTACTTTAAAAAAGAAAAAAGAAACTAAAATTTTAAAATATAAAGCTTTTTTACATAATAAAAAAAAAAATTTTTTTACATGATGTTTTACACCCAGAAATTAATACGACGCAAATTTGTATAAAGCTTAAGTCTTTATTTTATAACTTATAATCATAAAGGTATAAATTACATTTAATTAATTAATATTAATATTTTAAAAAACTTATGAGAAGAAAATTTCAATTTTTTTATATGTTTTAATAAGGATCTACACAGGGTGGCCGAGTGTAGCTTTTTATGGTGATGCATCCTTTTGTTTTCTTTTTTTCCCCATGCCGTTAAGTAATCCAGGTGGTCGTCCACGTTTAAGTTGTTTTTCTTCACGTTCGCAAGTGAGGCCCTTTTTCTCACAATTTTTACATGAAGGTTGGTTGTCATCACACTTGATATGCTTTGTTCGACAATGATTACAAGCGATTCTGACGTTTTTACCGCGCGTGGTTGGAAATGAATTAACTGCCATTAACTATCAGTAGAGATGAAGAATATGGGACAAGCATCAGAAACCGATGATTAATTAGGTTATAATGATGTTGCGATACTTACTTTATAGATGTTCTGATGTATGTAGAAATAGAACCACTTTGGATTCTTCGTTTAAAAAAATTAATTTGAGATAAATCTATTTTCCCGGAAGTATTTTTGAATCGAGGATCCTTACAACGATCTATTCCAATAATTACAGAAATCAACAGTTCGATTATTGGTTAATTAATAGCTTTTCCAATTAACAAGAGAATTATTACAACAATTTTTTAATGTTATAGTTACTAGTAAAAGTCTTTAAATACTTGTTTAATGTTATAATTACTACTAGAAGCCTTTAAATACTTGTTTAATGTTTCACCAAAGTAGAAAGATTTCAACCATTTTCATCTTTAAAACAAGAATTTAGAACTTTCGATGTCATCAAGAAAGAAAGTTATAAAATGAAATGTACAAAAAGATAACGGGGCTTGATGCCCTTTTAAATTGTTATTCTCTTTATAAAGTTGTAAAAAGTGCTACATAGCAATAAATGAAATTATGCAAACAGACGCCAAGTAATAAAGTATTTTAATTAGTGATGGTGGCAAAACTGGAGGGATTTCCCATTTTAAAGAAAGAATTTAAATGAAATATACAAATAAAGAAATGAGTCAAGGGAAATCTCTTGTGTAATATTATATATTATAATTACCATAAAAATTCTTTTAAGTAACGTAATAATAATATAGAATGCCCCCACATAACATTAATTACAAATGGGTTGCAAAAAAGAGAACGGAGTTTTTTATTGTTGTTTCCAAAAGGAACGGACGGAATCAATATTATAATTATAATTAGAAATGTTTGTCATTCTAAATGAATGTGTTGTGAATTTATAAATTTTTCTATTTTTGTAATCATAACTCAAAAAACCTCCACCACATAATAGTACTACTATTATTTTTAAATCGTTGGAATGTTTTTGAAAAATAAACATCTTTAGAAAAAAATAAAGTTATTCCGATGCTATTATGTGAAACCCGAGCTTGATTCACGGTGATGTCAGCTATAGAATTTAAAAATTTAATACAAAATTATATTTATTAAGATAATTACATGTCAACAAAAGAAAGAAAAAACAAACAAATTATTGTAATAATAAATGATAATAATTCAATGCTTAATTAGACAAATCAGATTGATGCTAAATATTCGTTAATTCATCAATTATTTATTTCACTTGTCTCCTTTAACAGTGTTTACTATTTGTAGATGTACTCTTTGCATATATTGCTATTGTATCATCAGAAGATAAGGAATCGAAATCAAAAGAGATGATTATTATTAATGTCGTAGTTTCCATAACAAACACCAATACCACCACTATCATTGGTTTGTTTGATTGGTCCTTTCATGGTAATGTTTATTTTGGCCGTTAATAGTATCTGATAGTTGCCGATGTAAAATTGATGGTTGCCGATGTAAAACTGATGGTTGCCGATGTAAAACTGATGGTTGTCGATGTAAAATTGATGGTTGCCGATGTAAATTTGATGGTTGCCGATGTAAAACTGATTGTTGCCGAAACAAAACTGATGGTTGCTGAAATAAAACTGATGGTTCAATACAATCATGCTCGGTATTATTATGAATTACAGGGATGTGGCATCTCCCCCCATCTTCGCTATTACTCTTGGTAGTTTGTAGATGCCGTTTCATTTATCTTATTTTTTTATAAACAAGCGTGATTTGTAATGACGATGAAATACTCGACAGTTATTTTATGATGGTAAAGATGTTTCTGGTGATTATGTATATAAAACCGTTTATCAACTAATATTCAGTTTCTTTAATAAAATTGAAATTAACAGTTCACTAATTAATTAAATAAATTAATATGGATAGCTTTGCCAACTAGCGATGATTTTATAATATTATATGATTGTTTTACTGCAATGTTGTTATTAAGCAACTTAACATTGAGAAAAGAGTTATTAGAGGGAATTTAAGGTGTTTAAATACTTCTTATGTTTCACTAAAATTGTGAAATAAAACGCGGAATTTTAACTTGTGTAACATTTTAAAAAAATAATTCCGTGTTGTATATACGACATTTTAGATATTTTATAAATTCCTTCGACAAATGAGTACTCTCTTTTAGCTTTAAATTATTCCAAATAATCTCTCAATTGACACCGTCATTATAATGCACACCATAAAAAAATTTACAATCTAAAACCATGTATGGAAATTGCAAAAACAACATTATTTTTGCATCACCAAAACAATAATGATAATGATAATCAAGTTTTTTAATAAAAGAAAGTCATTAAGCGGTTGGCTGTCAAATTACATACATAGCCTTCCCGAGACTATCACTCTCTAATATGAAAATGATCTTTGAGGTCAACTTATTGATCTATAATAATAAATAAAAATTTATGATCCCCTCAAGATCTACAAAAGTCGTTACTATTCTGGAAAATATCCAAAAAATCAACGTAAATCAATTATTCTATATTAATATAGTTGAAAGCTGTTGTGCTACGTTGGAATTTTTTAAATACGTACGCAAGTTCAGTGACCCTTATAATTCTGGCTAAGTTTGCTTGATTCCAGCCCAAATTATGGAGTAAAATGACAAAATATTTATTTTTTCCTAAAAAATAAATTTTCTTTTTGTCAAATTTTCTTCTAATAAAATATTAAAAATGGTCGGAATTAAAAAAAGAATTCAGTTCTTAAAAGAAAAATGTGGCATATTTTTTGTCTCGTGCAATCTGCAGATCTATAAACGAAATTTTGAAAAAAGTGATGTATTATTATTACAATTTCTAAGTCGAGGACCTGAAAAATATTGATCTAATAAAAGGAAACATCAAAATCTGGTAAATTACAAAAAAAAAGCGACTATTACTATTTATTAGCTGGGTTGGTTGACCAACCTAGGCTCAGGATTGATTATTCATTATTTTAAAAAATTTATATGTATATATATGTATATTAAATGTATAGATATGTTTGCGCGATTTTTTAATAGATAGGAAGCCATATCATGGCTTTGTCACAAATGTCTTTGTAATACCAAATTTGAAAGGAAGGAAAATCATTTGCTAAAAATCCATCATAATGACCTTCATTATACAGTACCTAGACAAAAGAATCGGAATGCACGTTTTTGTTAATTACGCAGAAACATACATAATAACCACATATT